TAACGGTCCTCCATCAGTCTCATGATTTGGTTAACCAGGTCGTCTGGGACAGTCTGTGCTGGCGTTGAGGGTGGCCTCTCTGTGAAAGTGACGGGACCCTCAGTCGTAAACTCAGGCGTCAGCCTAGGCATCTCTGGTTGCGTGTTTATCTGCGCTGTTGTGACGGTAGCAGATATTGGACGTTTCTTATGACGTACATCTGGAATGATAATCGGAATGTCATCATCATATAAACATAATTCTGAGACAGGTAGAATATCGGAGGCAAAATTATTTGTAGTTTTCGTAGATTTCCCTTTTGACGAAGCTGCGGACCTGGGGGTTCGAAGCGTACGTTGAGATGATGTGGACGCTTTCCTAGTCTTAGACTGAGAAGACGGAATGTCTTGAGATGCAGGTCGCTTCTTGGACATAGCGGACTGCGTCCCACGCTTATCCCCCGAGGGAAACTCCGGCATGCCACCAGCCGGTGGAGGGTCGTCAGTCAACAGTTGACAGGGTATAATAGCTTCCGATCTATTAACCATGACTGAAGATTGTTTGCGAGATTTATCTGCCTTCCGTCTCAAAACGGAACATAAATATTTATCAAAGGCAGAGATTGGTAAATAAATACATAATTTACGAGAAACAATAGAACATGGAGTAATGCAACTAGGGCATTTTAAATGTGGATCAGTAGCGGAATAACGTAGTTTACAACCTGTGCAGATTCTCATGAACGTAAACTGCTGAACAAACACGGCGAACCGTGAATAAAACAGCAGAAACACGACTAATAATCAATGCAAGTTGAATAAGGATACTAGTTACACCTCTATAACTGAATATGAGAGGTACTAAACTAAATATAAATAAAGGATATAGTGTGTTGGGAGACACAGGCGCTCTCACGTCCAGCTCACTGGGCGGCGAAGAAGGAGAGAGTGAGGCACATGGGTTCGGGTGGCGCCCTCGTTCCCGCGCTTGTGGAAGGGAGGTAACTCGTGGTGAGTACTGATTAGTGATTTTTTAATTGAAGGGAACTTCAATTGGGAGATACACGTGTTCCACTATGTTCGCAAGAAGAAGACAAGCAATAAGCATGAGTCAGGATAAGGAAAAATACTTGTATTTGTCTTGCTCGACAACCCCTACAGGCCGCTTCAGGGCCCCCTACAGACAAGAGCAGGTAACTCTAGCCATCTACCTCGCACCTCACTTTTCATGCTGGACGTAATCAGACAGAATGTGCGGAAGTGGGTGGCCGTACCTCAAGGAGGACTTTCTTCAAAGAATCAGTGACCTCTACAGGTTTGTACGATTCTTTTTCAGAAGAAGTCCTTGGGGTACATATAAGCATAAGACTGACTCCAAAAGATAGTGAGTCAGGAGTGGCAATCCCCGTCTGAGAAAACAAAGCCATTTTCAAGTGGAATTCTACAGCTGAGTGGAGATAGATAAACGCACTTACCCAGTCACCTGACCGCCAAAGTCGTTCAGGCTGAGGCGTGGCCTAGGTCAGGGACTAGCAATGTCAAGCTTATGTGATGATTGGCTAATAAGCAAACCCCCCAGTATACCCCACCCCCCCAACCCAAAGTTTGGAAGAGTATAGTATGGGTACTTGACAAATATTCCCACTATCAAAACACCCAGCCAGTGAAACGTGGTGAAGGGGAAAAATACGAGTGAAGCGAGAACATGCCATAAAGCCAATGTAATGCATGAAATACCGTCACCACCAGATACCATTACTGATAAAAGGGGGAATGAAATAACTCATCAGCAAGTAAGTGAAGAATGATGTGATCTCGAAAGCTCAATCATCTAGTGAGTTATAACTCTGCCCACTGTGGAAAACTGGCCAAACCGATCATGCTCACATGAGTGTCCAGCTGATAATGACTGATGAACGTACTCGGCCAGCTCCAGAGCAATGCAGTGAGATTTGTACGTACTTAATTATACCTCCCTTTTCCCTTGTATATACTAAATTTACATATCTGGCTTCCTGTACATCTATATATATACTGTACTGGTCACTATCACCATTATTCACCTGAAGAAGGGGCAAGAACTAGCCCAGAAATGTTGTGGGAAAAAATAAACTAAGAAGTTGTTATCCATAAGATTTGTCTTATATTCCTACACCAACTTCTAAATGCCTTTGAAAAATCTTAAGGATCTCACGGACATCTAGGACGTGAGCACGTCGAAGAGAGGTACTGGACGATGGAGGCTGAGTGAAATCCGGAAGTTCGATAGGTGCTGTTATGTGAAAAGATCCTATCATCTTAGGAGGGTAAAAGTCTGTCAACTGAATGCTGACCTGATCCTTGTGAAAGACGGTTAGCATTGCATGAATGTCACTGACCCATCTGCCAGACATTACCGCCACAAGAAAGGCTGCCTTCCAACTTAACAGCTGGAGAGAGAGAGAGCCAACAGATCATAAAAGAGAGGACCGGACATCCAATCAAGAACAATTGACAGTCGGACGGATTTTGTCCATGCCTGCTAAAAAGAGCTGCACGAGAGGGTGTTGCCCCAAGAGTACACCATCGGCAGGCATGTGAAAGGCAGAAGTAGCCTCTGACAGTAGAAGGGGTGAGACTGGCTTCTAACCAAGATTGCAAAACTCCGAAACAGTCACTAAATCTGTAGAAAAGGGATCAAGAATCCCACTGCCAACACACCAGCATGCATGACAACAGGCCCATCTATCCTCATACTGAACGTTCGCCGAATCCTTCAGCGAAGCCAGAATTGTGTCTGCAACTGATGCAGGTCGAAGTGGTCGCAACAAAGCAGAAACTGCCACACCTCCTGAAGGAGAGACGGAGACACCGTACCACCTTGTTTCTGGATATAGGCCATCGCCATCTGGATGTCCATCTCTTGACCTACCACTCGGTTCCGAACCTGGTCCACAAAGCATTCGAATACCAGCCGGACTGCTCTCAATTCTAGCACATTGGATAGATTCCGGGCATCTGTCAACCACCGCAAATGAGGAATTAACCACTCTGGTGCCACGAGAAGCTTCTTGTAACTCTCCGAGTGAGACAGCTGCGCTAACGCCTGCTGTATAGGTCGCATCCTCAGACGTGCACGCCAAACTGTCCACAGTCACCGCCATGTTGCCTAGCAACTGGAGCCATGTCTGTGCCGAGGTCCTGGGGGACTCAAGGAATTGCAAGGCAACCCTCTGAACTTTGGTTATGTGATCCCGAGACAGGGAGACTATGCCCTGCTGTGTCTCAAATCCCGCTCCAAAGATAACCAGATCCTACATTTGTATAAGTTCGTATTTCTTGAGATTTATAATCAAACCAAGCTGGGTCACACTGAAATTGTGACTTCTCAACTCAAGTGAATGGCAAGCGCTCTGAGTAGCCAGTCATCTAGGTATGAGTGACAGCACCTGCCCTGTGCCCTGGATACCTGTGCTGGAATTAACATTAGATTGATGAAGGCTCTTGGCACCGTGGAGTTGCCGAAGGGGAACACACAAAACTGATAGCACTTCCAGTCGAAGGAAAACTGAAGGTACTTCCTGAAATTAGGGTGCATTGGGGCATGGAAGTGAGCATCTTTGAGGTCGATTGATGTGAGCCAATCCCCTGCCTCGACGGATGAGATCACTGACCTCAATCATGTCGTTCAGCCCTTTGAGATTTAGTATGGGTCTGAACCCTCTGTCCTTCTTGGTGACAAGGAAATAAGTGGAGTAAAACCCCACATTTTCCTGCACCATCAGAACCCATAACCGCACTCATCATCTGGCTAGCACATGACCTAATAACGTTGCGTGCCAGATGAGAGTGAACTTCTGTCAGTTGCCTCGCCAAGATGGCGGATGACGAATCATCCCCCAACCGACCTTGGTCCACCAGCTGCCTCTGAAAAGTGGAGAGGTACGCTGAGTGCACCACGACCTTGAGCTGTTGTACAGCATTACGATATTGTTCCTCGAACAATCAATATCCCAACTTCAGCACTTGGCCGTTGGTCGGGAAGGGAGGCAACCTACGGCCCTGTCTAACCAAGCTAGGGAGTGGCGTGACAAACCCCCAAAGGTTGACAGATGTGTAAATACAATCGTCCCTCATCAGGTACAGGCGGTTTAACTCAAGGAGATCGAACCGTGTCCAAGTACCTAGGAGGAGGAGGGGGTTAATGCAGAAGCGCATTGCAAGTAACACAGTGTTTGAACTGCAAACAAACAGAACTGTGCTATACAAGCAGGTAACTGTTACACAAGCCTACAGCAAAAATATGATGCACAGGTGATATTAAATGCTATCAGCAATAACCAACTTAATCTAAACATGAAACATCTAAAGCAGAAAAAATGCTACGCTTGAGAAAACTTGCGTACATATAGAATGAGTAATGTAGAGCCGAGCCAAAGCGTACATGCTACAAAATTACTCAACAGCACCTTACCGTAATTTCACTGAAAGCGAAAATAATAAGGCAAGCCTAACATAAATAATATAATATAATTATATATAAACTCTCTCCAAAAAGTGAGAGCGGAACACTAACAAATTGGAAGGGAGAAGAAACCGCGTAGTCCGCCATCTTGCCTACCACGTGGTTGGAAAACAAGCAACTCGTCGGCAAAGTTACAACAAATTATGAATGAAACTACATATAAATTCCATCTATCGCCCGTGAGAAAAGAAAAGTACCAAACATACAGTATTCAAGTCTTTATCACCCATAGTTGTAGAATCTTGAAACCACAAGAAAATGAACCACACACATCCTTCTGCAAGAACGACAGCATGAAAAGTGAGGTGGACAGCTAGAGTTACCTGCTCTTGGAGGTAGGGACCCTGTAGGGTTGGTCGAACAAGACAAAAACAAGCTTTTTGTTTTGTAAATATATTCATCAAAATATAGCTACAACTGTCGTAGGTTTATAAAAATTACATTTTTAATGTTTATATGTACCACAAGGAGGACTTCTTCAGAAAAAGAATTGATCTGCTAGTGAGCTTGTGACTTACAGGCCTTTGTGAGGCTGAGTATGTGTGCAGTGAGAGCCTTGAGTTCCTCGTTGACCGGTCCATCAGTCTCCTCCTTGTTCAATGTGCTCTGTCCGATGCGTTTCTTGGTCTTCTTCTTCATGGCCTGTAGGGTGATGGATCCCACGTCTGTGTTCTCTGTGGCTACAGTTGTAGTGTCCCCCTTCTCTGCATCACCACCCTCCAACTTGGTGGGCTTCTCCTCCGGCATCTCTGTCGCCAGCAGCAGACGGCCGCTTTCATTGATGCTACTCGCAAGAGCCTTCTGTCCCCAAGTGCGCAGAACCTGATGGAGAGTTAGATGCATGATACTATTTTCAAAAAGCAGATCACAAAATCTTACTGATCATGATTGTAAATGGCTTCCAGATGTGTTGTTGAAGGACAATGCAATGGTTCACCTTTGCCATGTGGAATGTGATACAGGCAGTCATGTGATGAAGACTGTCTGCAATGTTGCCCTGACGTTTTTGTATGAGCCCAGCCGGGATTTCTTGCAGCACTGCATGGCATCTCTGTAGGACCTGGTGATGTAGAGAAGTAGAGGAGTGAGAGAACACTTCAGGCAATCACTGGCAAACATTTAGTCATGTACTGGTGGTCTTCAAATCTGTTCAAGACAAAAGAGGTCATTCATTCTATCTTGAGGGATACAGTGAAGTTTAAGCTGAGTTTGCACCATTTGACTCTCATGACACCTTATCCTAATTTCAGATTAATTTTACCCTTTTTATGAACCTTCCTCCATAAAAAGTTTCATATAAGAGAGTGTTGTGGTTTCATATAAAATATTTCATTTTCTCTGAAATGGGTATTCAGTGTCAAGACCTTTCAGTGAGAAAATGTACTAGAATTTACAGCAAATTCTTTTCATGATAATCTGCATAGAGGAATCAACCATGGGTCTCAGAAACTAAGTGATCAAGGGTAAAATAATGATGCAGTTAGATGGGATGTGGGAACTTGGGCTGGAATAACAACAGTCAAGGTTACTCTAGAATAAATCAAACTGATTCTTTGAAATTATCATTCCACAGTTTTCACTCATGCACCACTGAAACAGAGAAAGCAAGGAGTACACTGACTTGTATGACAGCCAAGGAAGGAATCTTGTAGAAGAGGAGTGGGGCCAGGAGCCCATAGCACTGCACAACTGCCTGGAGGGCCAGGTTAGCTTCATTCAGCCACCCAGCCAATTCTATTGCTACCAGCATCTTCTCACACTTGGAAAGGCGTCGTAACTGTAACACACAGCACTACATGTGACAGGTATTTGTAAAGCTAGTAAATATATTCAGAGCCTAAAATAGCATGCTATTACACAGTCACACATACCTACCTGTCCAGCATAGAGGGTGTTTGTCACACAGACCTACCTGTCCTGCATAGAGGGGGTTTGTTACACTGACCTACCTACCCAGCTTGGAGGGGGTTTGTTACACAGACCTATCTGTCCAGTATAGAGACGGTTTGTTACACAGACCTACCTGTCCAGCATAAAGGGGGTTTGTTACACAGACCTATCTGTACAGTATAGAGGGGGTTTGTCACACAGACCTACCTGTCCAGCATAGAGACGGTTTGTTACACAGACCTATCTGTCCAGCATAGAGGGTGTTTGTCACACAGACCTACCTGTCCAGCATAGTTGGGGTTTGTTACACAGACCTACCTGTCCAGCATAGAGGGTGTTTGTCACACAGACCTACCTGTCCAGCATAGAGGGGGTTTGTTACACTGACCTACCTGTCCTGCATAGAGGTGGTTTGTCACACAGACCTACCTGTCCAGCATAAAGACAGTTTGTCAAACAGATCTACCTATCCAGCATAGAGGGGGTTTGTTACACAGACCTATCTGTACAGTATAGAGGGGGTTTGTCACACAGACCTACCTGTCCAGCATAGAGGGTGTTTGTCACACAGATCTACCTGTCCAGCAAAGAGGGGGTTTGTTACACAGACCTACCTGTCCTGCATAGAGGTGGTTTGTCACACAGACCTACCTGTCCAGCAAAGAGGGGGTTTGTTACACAGACCTACCTGTCCTGCATAGAGGTGGTTTGTCACACAGACCTACCTGTCCAGCATAAAGACGGTTTGTCAAACAGATCTACCTGTCCAGCATAGAGGGGGTTTGTTACACACACCTATCTGTACAGTATAGAGGGGGTTTGTCACACAGACCTACCTGTCCAGCATAGAGGGTGTTTGTTACACAGATCTATCTGTCCAGCAAAGAGGGGGTTTGTTACACAGACCTACCTGTCCATCATAGAGGTGGTTTGTTACACAGACCTACCTGTCCATCATAGAGGCGGTTTGTTACACAGACCTACCTGTCCTGCATAGTGGGGGTTTGTTACACAGACCTACCTGTCCAGCATACAGTGGTCCTCTGTCACACAGGCCATCACAGAACAGCTGCCCATTACGGACACTGATGTCCACACTGATGAAGATGGCCGTAAGGAATTGCCTCAGCAGAACCGGCGAGGACAAACACACAGCACGCTGGTTTAACCTGAGGGAAATGCACAATTAGTCAGGCAATAATTCTCTTCATCTCAAGGCTATTCTAATGGGAACTAAGCATATTTACACAAGACGTGTCATAATGGTGTAGCTTTCTTGTTTGAGATATCAGTCATATATCAGATGGAATATGTTACTCTTCCCTGTTAGGAGGTGTGCTGAAGCTTATCAACTGTGTGTTTTCACTGACCTGAGGAGTGTGAGTCTGTAGTCCTTGTTAACAGAAGTGGTGTAGGTGGGGCCCTGAGGAGGGGGTTTCTCCGCTAGGAAGTGATCCCATAATACATCACAGGCATGTTGGGCAATGTCGTACCCTCCAACTTGATAGGCAATCTGACCAGGATATAGCAACAGTGTGGCATTACAGAGTTGACTGAAGGCACCTAGCGGTACACATTGACCTTAATGTTATAATTATTATCCTGTAGTGCGCTCTACATCTAGGGACGAAGCAGGGGCAAATAGCTCACTACTTGAAACTGCTATGTTTCATATCAGTCATTTTATAATAGGTAAAATGTCATCAGAGTCAGACAAATTGTACAAGGAGAGTGTCATGCTTTTGTCAATTATGAGACAACATTATCACCAACAAAAAACATCAAGACAATTTATCATCCAAAACTGGCTCCCACTGTAGATATCACTTGTGTGAGATCAAGTGATATCTACAAGTGATATCTACATTGTAGATATTGTAACAATTGAACTGTCATAATGCTGTTACATCATCAGTTAATGACCTCACAATGCTTTGACATCACTAAGAACACAGCTGACAATGCTATGACATCACAAAGTTGATGTCGGATATTGGAAACTTTAATCAACTCGTGTTGATATATTTGATATCAGAAGACACTTTGGTGAGGTTCTCTTCATCTCAGTATATTGCCCAAAAAGAATGTAATCTGGAACTCTGCAAATGGATTTAAATTCGACACACACTGAAACAAAATTCAGTCAAAGTCCCAAGAACTGGCAGAAATATATCCAGTTATTCACAGAAACAGAGCATCCATATAATACCATAGAACTGATAAGAATATTTGCAAGCATTCAAGAAGAAGACATTATTCTAAAGACTATACAGAGTAACTGGAGATCAACAAGATTCCACTGAGGCCTTGAAGTCAAACCCAACATGAGCAGTGTCTGTGTACCTGGGTGAGGAAGGCCCAGGTCATGAGAACCGGCAGGGGGTGGGATGCTAGGATGGGTTTACTGGTCTCCCCTACACTGTCTCCAATCAGTTTGCCAGCAGACGTGTACGCACCAACAGCAAATACATAGCGCTCATTGGGTTTCAGTCCTGTTGCCTTCAGCTCACATCGGAATGATGGCACCTGCAGAAACCAGAAGTACATCAACAAATTGCTATCAACTATCAAATTCATAAACAAACAAATTAAATGAAGATTTTAAAAATCTCACTGACCTCTTCTCCAGTTCCATCTAGGAAGTAGTCATTGATCCTGACCTTGACATTGCTGCCACTTGCTGATCGACCAAAGAGTCGGTACCAAGCCACCTGTTGCACAGAAACAGTTGTAAAAAGCTGAAAAATGTATTGCACATGTTGTCATGAACAGTCAGGAGACAAACTAAAGGCTCTGGTGCTGTTGGGTCACATGTGCAGCACCAGTGTCCTGAGGTCTTCGAGGTCGTCCACAATGGCACTTGACAAGAAAGTTTAACTTTTATAATTAAGTTCCAGTAGTGAGTATAGAGACATCCATGAAATGTAGTCTTACAAATTTCCTATTTTAAAAAGTGCTCCATGAGCTGATTGTGCCTCAAAGTTCATACAGACACTCTGTCTGCTGCTTGATTAAACTGTTCACTGTTTTACACATGTATGTGTTTTGGTCAAGTTGTAATGGCTTCTGTATGTGAATGTATATCAAGCTTCTACACCACCAACCATATTCCCCAGATCTGCCCTCAAACAACTATCACTTGTTTAAAAATTTGCAAAAACAGTTTACTTGTCAGATGCTTTAATGAGAACCAATAACTGGTTGCTACTGTGAAGAGCTAGGAGACACAGTATTTCAGTTCTATGTTTGCTATTCTCTAAAACAGTTTGATATACCCTGATATAATAACTAGCAATAAAATACTTTCACTCTAATGGAAGTATCGCTACCTTCTCTCCTCCTTGAGGTTCAAACGGCGCTGGTGTGAAGACCATGGAGTTGTCAGTGCGACACAGCAGGATGGGGGGTGGGGGAATCTTGGAGGTGCGAGGTGACATCTCACTCAGACTCTTGTTCTCTAGGTACAGCCTCCTCTCCTCGGCCTCCGCTCGCTGGATCAGCGACACAGACTCCTGGACACAGGGAGAAATGGCTGTTTAAACCAACATCATTTGGGTGGATGTGTGGTGACATGTACCATAAGATACCAAACAGCCTTTATGTGGTGGTGTGTGGTACTGTCCATAGAACTCAGGTCACAAATCAGTTGAAGTTACGCAATGTTGAGTGTGGAGAGTCCTTGGATGGGTGACTGTGTGAGGCAGGTTGACGCCTGAGAGTTTCTAGGACTTCGGTCCTGCCCCACAACAAAGCACACACGACACATTTGCTCTCATCTTAGGCAAGGGAGTTTGTTCAAAATTGCCTCTGTTCACCCAGCAGAAAAATTGGTACCTGGTGGGATAGGTCATGTGACTATTAGCCTTCTAGTGCTTAACAGGCAGTTTGGGTTATTTGGGGTAATAATAATTAGATTGTTTGGGTGCTTTGAGCATGCATTATGCATGGAGAAATGCGCTTGATAAATGGACTATATTTATCATGTTGCCATCTACAAACTGAACTGAAATATTTGTGAAAGTTATCAGTTTTATTTGTTCATGATTCCTGTGCATTGTGAACACAGATTCCACTTTTCAAATGCAATTTGTAACTGTTATTTTCTTCATGACGTTTGACTACAATTGCATGTTAGTAACTACAATTTCCTTTGACATATTTGTTAACAGTATCATGGCCCATATAGATATAGATTGAGGGGGACTTGAATTTTCAACAAATAGATTGTCTTACCTGAAACATCTTCTTGACATGTTGTGAGGGAGCGCCCTCGTTACAGGACATCTGAGCCTGCTGCATGTACAGTAATGCCTTGGATAGGCTGTTCTTGCTACAGCGAGTGGACAGCTCATCAAAACTCTCAACATAGGAGTCCAACATGCTGCCGTTGCTATCCATCTACAGCAAGACAGGTTCATGTTATCACATATCTCCATACACAAAGAAATGAGGATGAAAGATAAAGTGCACAAAGACGTTTATTGATATTCAAGGAATAACAGACTTACATAGTCTGAATCTATTCTCCTCTTGGAAGACTTGGACTCCTTGAGAGATGGATCTGGAATATACAATAGATCAATGTTGAACAACATAGCTGAAAAAAGTGTTGATAAAAAACATTTCTCAGAATCGGCTGTAGACTGAACACTAAGAGATGTGTTAGTCTGCACTTCATAGCTTCAGTTCCACACAGAAACCCTTGATTCACCTGGGTCAACAGATGACAGCTTCAGACAAACTCTATGGTACATAAGGATCAAATCAAGATGGAGATCCTTGACTCACCTGGACCAATAGATCATAGCTTCAGAGACTCTGGTTCATAAGGATCAGTTCAAGATGGAGATCTTTGACTCACCTGGACCAAGAGATGAAAGCTTCAGAAACTCTGGTACATAAGGATCAGTTCAAGATGGAGATCCTTGACTCACCTGGACCAATAGATCATAGCTTCAGAGACTCTGGTTCATAAGGATCAGTTCAAGATGGAGATGTTTGACTCACCTGGACCAAGAGATGAAAGCTTCAGGCAAACTCTGTGGTACATAAGGATCAGTTCAAGATGGAGATCCTTGACAGTGTTCCAGACAGCTGTTGCAGCACCTCGGTGACTGGGTGGGATCAGTTCTTCTACATTCACGTGACTATCATCAGATAGTTCCGACACTTCCTTGACTGCCTCCAGAGAAAACACCTCAGGGTTCAGGTCCTAAAGGTCAAGGTCATGGTATAAATTGTTGTTCAGAAAGATGAACATAACCAAGATGAATTTCATTCTGCGTCTAATTCTTTAATGTACCCATAGATCTAACATTTAATTATGACTTTGAACATGGAATTATATACCACCACATATCCTGGTGAATGACATGAAAAAAAAGCCAAGGTATATAACATTCACAAATATTGATGAACAAAACTCCACTAAGATAATTGTCTACATACAAGCATTGAAATCAACAAATCACATTTCTCTACATACTACAAAGCTTTACCTAAAATCATAAGCTAATAATATGTCTACTATAATGTTCTAGTTAAACATGCATTATAAGTTACATCTATGTACACTTTCTGTGTAATTAAATTGTGCCAAAAGAAAATGTGACTGTGGTTTCAGTTATTTTATCAAAAACATTTGTGCTTAAAAAACGTCATTGGTGTAGGTGCAAAACAGTTTCATTCAAACTAGAAAATGAGTATCTCCAAACCATTCTTGTGCAATGATCTGTGTTAGCATATGATCACCTGCCCTGAGTACTGGTAAAATGACTTCAGTTAAACAAAACAAATGAATTGTTAAAGAGATGAGTACTAGATCTATTTTGCCTTCTGGTTAAGAATGATATTATCAGTTTTACTCTATGTACTTATCATCATCACTTCACTTGTAATAAATGTCATTATATTAAAAGCAAAAATACTGTCATTTTGTAACATGAAATAAATATATTCTTAATATTCTCATTTTTCACTGTACCTGCCACAGAAAATATTTCCCAATAAATGATTCTAAATGTTTCAACCCAAAATAGAAATACTGTCTGTACTTAACAACAATATCATTATATGCACATGCTATGTTAGAATTAAGGATACACTTGCCTTAAGCAACTACCGGTAATCAATATTAAAGAATTATAGTTGTCAGGAAGGTCACCTTTCAGCTTTCGAATAATGCTGTTTGTTACCAGAAAGAAAAAAAATGGTTTAAGGGAAGAAAAAGCTCCATGTTCCCAACTATTTTACTATGTTGTGAATATGTACATGTTTGTACTTTAAAACTTTGTCAGTAAATATAATGCAAAGATAATTTCCTTTTGAACATTAAACCAGGGAAAAGGAAGACAAAGATATTTCTTTGTTTAGTTGAATGTTCAAGAATATATTTCACATTTCCCAAGAGTTACTAATTGTGTCCCAAATGTTCATAACTGCATGTTGTTATGTAATTTTCAGTGGAATTAGATGTAATTGTTGTTGTTATCATCATTAGTTCTTCCAAAACGGGTCCACTTTATGAAACTGCAAGTCAGCAAATCCAAGAATAATATAGGTGACCTGATGGCACTGTAAAAAATGTCACTATTCTAAAGATCACTGGGCAAAAAATCTACGTCTCAGAATCAAACTCAAAATCTAGCTGTCTGTGTATGGCACACGCAGGGCAAACCACTCAGTGTGTGCCACGCCTTCTTACACTCACCACCAATCCTGGAGCATTCAACACACTCTGGAAACACAACACAAATTACCACAAACAGAAACAACAGCATGTGTCTATAGATTACATGTGTCATAATAGAAGCATAACACAGTATGTGTTTATAGAGTTGAGGTGTGACAGTCAAACATAACACAGTATGTGTCTATAGAGTAGATGTGTCACAACTAAAGCATAACACAGCATGTGTCTTGAGAGTTGAGGTGAGATAAGACAAGAATAACTCAGTGTGTATCTATAAAGAAGCAGTGATATAAGCTTAACACTCAATAGATATGTGATGATACACACACAACACAGTATGTGTCTATAGACTAGATGTGTGACAATAATGTAATTTTTTGAGTAAAATTGATATTTTATACTTATCCTGACTCATGCTCTTTTGCTTGTCTTCTTCTTCTTGCGAACATAGTGGAACACTTGTATCTCCTTAATTGAAGCTCCCTTCAATGTAAAATCACTAATTGGTACTCACCAAGAGTTGCCTCCCTTGCCCTTTTGGCGGGAACAGGTGTCGCCACCCTCTGGCCTCATGCTTCACTCTCTCCTGATTTTGCGAGCCCAACACTTGAATTTACAGGGAAATCCAAAGTGTTATGTGGGGAGGATGGGAGGGCTAACCTCATGAGTCAGGATAAGTATAAAATATCAATTTTACTCAAAAAATTACATATTTTTCCTTATCCTGACTCATGCTCTTTTGTTGTAGAATCCTGAGGAAGCGGAGGTGGGCAAAACAGAATACTTTGGATTTATAGAATTAGTGATTTATATAGATATAACTGTAATAACCCCCCTACGGAACTTCATAAAGGCATAGACTTAGGATAATTCCTCTATTATAAACCATAGGTTATAATGCCATACTGGGGGTATTTACATTAATAATATACTGAGATATTATAAACAACAATATCAAAGCGACTCTGATAGAGAAGCTATACCACTGAACATATATACATAGTGCTAGAACTCCGTAGAGTTATAAGCTAGATAATGCATGTAACAATTATGCATATTAATCTCGTAAGACTACGTGTTAACGTATTTGAGGGACTGTCAACTGTTGTCTGCGAGGACCAAGGGACCGAAATGGTGAATCGTGAGACGCGTCCTCGGTGGTGATATCTCTCAGGTAGTGACTAGCAAACACCATGTTAGATTTCCAAAAGCATCCTTCCATAATTGTATTCAATGAACAGTTACTGTGTAGGGCTGAGAGTGGAAGCTAAAGCCCTGATCTCATGGGGATTTGATGCTGTTGGAGGGTCCAGTCCTGCTGCCTTGTAGTAGCGAAGTATGACAGTTCTTATCCATATAGATATGGTGGTACAGAGACACTTCTGTCTGAGTTGTTGCCGACAAGGGATGAATAATCATTTGAGAAATCTTCTTGCCTTGTTTTGGACGCCGTAAATAGATTTTGAGAGCTCTGACTGGGCATAGAGATAAGTCCAGTGTATCTTGAGATCCGAGAATGGAGGATAATGCAGGGATATGAAATAACCTGTCTGGTTGACCTGGTAGTTGATTTTTGGCGATGAAATCCCATCTTAGTCCCAGGTGTGCTGTGTTTTGATTGTCATCAAACTGTATCCTCTCATAATCTAGTGCGTGAATTTCCGACATCCTGGCTGCTGTGGCTAGAGATAACAGGAAAAGCGTTTTCTGTGAGAGAAATTCAAAGTTTGTCGATTCCAACGGTTCATAAGCCTCACTTGTGAGGTGTTGTAACACTATATTCAGATCCCAAGCTGGAAGCTGGAACTTCCGCTTTGGTCCTCAATCGAAAGCACGTAGTAAGGCCAGTAACTCTGGAGTTTTAGTCAATTTGACACCCGTTCTCATGGTAATCACAGAACTAAAAGCGGCAAGATATGTTGACAATGTCGAGCCTTTTAAATGTTTGTTTTGGCCGTAAGTAACACAAATAATCTGCCACTTGTGGATGAGTAGCATCTCTTGCTGTAAATCCCCTTATTTGCCGCGTAATTCTCAAAACTGTGCCACTTGTCAGTCGCATACAAGTTACATGTAGAATTGCGTAAAGGCAAGCGTGACGCTTTTGCAGCCCTGGTAGAATACCCTCTCTTGTTTAAACACATTTTAATACAGTCCATACGTGAAGTTGGAATACTTCTGGGCTTCCGTGCACCTGTTTGGTGTGTGGATGTATTAATAGATTTTGAGCTTGGGTAGCTCTAGTGTTGGTTGACCGATTTCTTGAATTAGAATGGGAAACCACGTTCTGGCAGGCCAGTAGGGCGCGACCAAAGTGAGTTGGAGGCTCTGTGTTTGTCTGATTTTCTGTAACACTTGAGGTATTATTGCTGGCGGGCGGAAAGCTGCGACGCATTGAGGCCTTCCCAGGATATGCTTAGAGCGCCCGTTGCCCATGCTTGTGGGTCTGGGACTGGTGACACGAATGTCGGTAGCTGATTGTTGAAGCGTGTGGCGAATAGATCTACTAGCGGCGCTCCTATTTGCTTGATTATCTGTGCAAATATTTCTGTATGGAGCATCCATTCTGTCGGTGACGGTTGATGTGGCCTAGAGAGTGCGTCTGCTAGTACATTCTTGGCTCCGGGAATGTGACATGCTCTGACATGTAGGTTTAGATCGTGGATTAGATCTAACAGTTGAAAGCTTAAAGTCAATAGGTTCAGTGATCTCGTTGAACCTTGTTTGTTCACATAGAACGCCACTGTCGAGTTGTCGGTATGAATCATTAAGTGCGCATTCTGTAGAATGGTGCTCCAATGAAGTATGGCGTTGATTACAGCTTTCATCTCTAACATGTTTATATGGAGCTTGCTTTCTTGCTGATTCCATAACCCTGATGCCGTCCGGTTGGCGAGATAAGCTCCCCAACCTTGGAGCGACGCGTCTACATATAGATGGGTTTTGAATTCCTGCTCTTCTAAACAAATACCTTCGCAGACATTTGACCTCCTGGTCCACCATAGTAGATGAGGTCTGAGACGTTTCGGTAGACTGAATGGTTGTAGGTCGTCGAGATGTGCATTGATGAAGACCTGTAATGGGCGTAACTGTAATCTGCCTGAGACTGTCATGTCTTGGGCTGATGTGAGGAGACCCAACAAGCTCTGCCATTGTCGAAGTGGTAACGGAGAGAGTAGAGCTGGCGGAATGGTCTGTTGGATCTTGAGCCAACGGTCTTCTGGTACGACGATACGGTTGTGATTCATAATAAATCGAATGCCTAGGAACTGCAGATCTTGCGATGGTACTAGGTCCGATTTGAGTAAGTTTACTAACCATCCTAGCTGTGTTAGTAGCTTTATGATGTAGTTTAACTGTAGTTTGAGACGCTGTGGATCTTGATCTACTTGTATCCCGTTGTCGAGGTAGAACGCACTGCGTAGCCCTAGACGATGTAGATAGGTGACAATAGGTTTCGTTATCCTCGTGAATAGCCAGGGGGCTGATGATATGCCGAATGGGAGTACTTTCCATTGGTAATGTAGACCGTCTAGTGTAAATCTTAGATATTTCCTGGATTCGGGATGTATCGGGATATGTAGATATGCGTCTTGCAGATCTATACTGGCCATGTAATCCATGGGGCGAATCAACTGCCGTAACTGAGGAAGGTGTATCATGCGAAAACTTTGGTGGTTTGCGAGATAATTCCTGTTGAAAAAGCTCATGTTGTAAATGAGTCTGTATTTCTCCTTGGAGTTTTTCTTGGGTACTAGGAAAACTGGGGAGTAGAAGCCTGGTTCGATGTTTACTTGATCTAGTACTTCTATGGCCTGCTTGGTTATGAGTGATGTAACCGCCTCTCTTAACTTTGGTAGTTGTTGTGCCTGTAAGTCGAACTTGTAAGGGTTGACTGTCAGCGAGGCGTGGCCTGTAGTGGGATCACGAAATCCGTGTTGAAGAATGTTGGAGACATAAGGGTCTTGTAACATTCCCAAGTTCTCCCAGTGTAGTTGGAGGCGTCCACCCACTTGTGACGGTTGTACTGGAACGGCTGGGGGTGGAAGACTCCAGTCGTTCCGAACCTGTCTTTCAGCGTTTATAGTTGCGGGAACCTCTGGGTGTCCTGCCTCTTCCTGACCCTCCTCTATAGTTGCCATATGGGCGACTAAAAGAATCTTTCCCCTGGCTGGCTATCTTCCTATCCCGTGCTTTCTGTAGTCCCGAGAACTTAGATCTCCCTGAGTATCTTTGTGAAGTCTGCCTGATGACGCTGGCTAAGCGTGTCCATCGACTTGATCATAAGGACTTCTCTGGAGTCCTTAGTGACTTCCTTGGAGACTTTGTCTATTCCTCCGTCAAAGATGTTTGGGGATGAGCACGGGCTGTATAGAGTGGAGCTGTAAAGTTCTCACCCCAGCTGCAGGAAGCGAGGAGGCCTTGACGACGAGCTAAGGTCAGTGCTGCTGAGACAGATGTGAGATGATCTGTAAGGAACTGCTGGTCCTTCTTTTGCATCAGTAGGGCCGAGTAGATCATCCTATCATCTTCAGAGGTCGTATTACGAAATCTGGTGATAAGTGTCTCATTGATCGTTCTAGATCTATTTAGGCCAAAAAACATGCGTCTCATCATGTTTTCTATCTGCACCAGCTTGCGATCGTCAATCTTGTAGTTCTTGTTCTTAACATCGCTGATCAGCTTGTAGTTGTCATCGATGTCTTGTGCCTTCAGGAAGGGGTCCATGTTGTGCGTGGAGAACTTCTTAGCGTGAAAGTTCGGCAGATGTGGTGTCTGCACTTTCGTAGCTTTAATGAAGGCTGTATCTAGATTATGTGGCACCGCAGCAATCGGGTCGATTGGAGGTAAGGTGATGGCGTCTGCATCGTCTTCCTTCATCAGGTATGTCTGCGCTGAGTTGCCACTCTTGGACGGTGAAGATAAATCTAGGTTGTTTACCATCCAATATCTTATCTCAGCGTCTGAGAAGATGATGCCTCCATGATGCCTCCATCATCTTCTGTACCAGCATCGGAGATGAGAGGTTGATGTTCCTCTGATGGTGACCTGTGGGCTGCTATCTCTGTGTCGGGTGACACTCGGGGAGACCTGACTGTAGACCTGCGTGCCGACTTGTGTGGTGACCTGTGAGGTGATGTACGTGGAGATCGGCGTGGTGAACGGCGTGGAGATTGTCTAGGTGATCTGTGTCTATGGGAAGACCTAGATCTGCGAGGAGAATGTTGACTGCTTCGTGAAGCTCTTGAATAGTCCCTCGACGTCCTTCTGGACAATGACGATCTGTGTGACGGCCTTCGTGCAGCTTTCTCTGCGTCCGGACCTGGGGAGCGGCGCCTTGACTTCCGTGACGGTTTCCGTGACGTCTGGTGGTCTGAGTCTGCATCTGAGGATGAGGCCGAGGACGGTGACGATCTCTCCCGTCTTCGCGAAGGCCTTCGCGAAGACTGTACATCTGCGTCCTTCGCCGAGGTGGTCTGTGACTTCCTTCTCGAAGGCCGCTTCGTCGTGGCTGCTACGCTGACTGGGGGTGCCTCTGGGGTGTCGTCTCGTTGCTCGGGCCCTGGGCTGGCTGCTTTCTCTCGACTGTAGTGGCCCTCCATCATGGTCATGATCTGCCGCTACAGCTCGTCTGGGATGGTCTGGCGACGAAGTAGTCGGTGCCCTCTCTGCGATGACAGCTGCTGAGCCCTCAGGAAGTCGTCTGACATCAGTGTAGAGGCATCAGGCTGCATGGCGATCTCTGCTGATGTCACTGTAGCTGTCACCGGTCGCTTCTTGTGGCGTCGTCAGGGATGATGATCGGCTGATCATCGTAGAGGCCCAGTTCGGCGGCTGGAACGATCTCGGCTGAGAAAGTTCTTGACGACTTCGTAGACTTCCCCTTGGATGTCGACGCTGCCCTGGGGGTCCGAAGTCTGTGTTGGGAAGACGTCGTGGCCCTCTTGGACTTTAGCTGCGATGACGGGACGTCTGGGGAGGCAGGACGCTTCTTAGAGGTGGCGGACTGCATCCCACGCCCATCTTCCGACGGAGTCTCTAGCGAAACACCAGACGGGAGGGGGTCTATCGACAGCAGCTGACTGGAAGGGGAATCCGATGTATCGGCCATGTCTAACCCTTGTTTGCGTGACCTATCTGCGGTGCGTCTCCACGGCGCAAAGATATTTATGAAAAGCAGAATTGGATAGATTAATGCAGTAACTGCAACGTATCAAACAAGCGCAAGGCGTAGCACAACTAGGGCATAATACATGCGGGTCAGCAACAGAAAAGCGTAAATTGCAAATAGTACAGATTTTCATCAACGTAATACTAGCTGAACAATCACGAACTCACGTGAATAAACAGTAGAAATACGATTAATTATCAATGCAAATTAATGAAGGATACTAGCTATACCTCTATAGTAACCTATAAGAGGTAATAAACTAAGAAAAACCAAAGGATATAGTGTGTAAGGAGACACAGGCGCTCTCACATCCTGCTCACTGGGCGAAGAAGGAGAGAGTGAAGCATGAGGCCAGAGGGTGGCGACACCTGTTCCCGCCAAAAGGGCAAGGGAGGCAACTCTTGGTGAGTACCAATTAGTGATTTTACATTGAAGGGAGCTTCAATTAAGGAGATACAAGTGTTCCACTATGTTCGCAAGAAGAAGAAGACAAGCAAAAGAGCATGAGTCAGGATAAGGAAAAATTAGAACATTATAAATCAGATGATACAGGCCCTTGATGATAGGAAGTTAAAAGACATGACTCTGGATGTCTGCAAACCCTATTCTTGATTTCATCTGCTTGGTAACATGGGTGGTAGTTCATACAAACATTTCGTACCAACTTAAGGGGACAGTTCAGTCCACAAAGAAGCAGATAGCCTGATATATAACAGTCACTTTGATGTGTTTGAGAGTCACACAGGATTTCATCCTTCACAATCCCAACCACTGTACGAAAAGTACAAACTTTCATTCCAGTACAGTAACCAATTATGGACTTTTGTGAACACAAGACAGTTTTAGTGTATGACCTAGAGTATTGATTATATATATTTTCTATATCTTTCCAAACTATTCCAACAATGTTCCCATGAGATTTAGGGCTCTTATTATCAAACATAATGTATCTTGGTAGAATTCAGGTTAACAATTAAGAGAAACTGAATTTTCATATGACCTGCTACTGTTATCATAGAAACTGTCATATTCTAACCACTGCAGCATTAGAATACTTCCAAGAGAAGACACACATGTTATATCAACTTCAGTGTGGCCAAGACCTTGAGTTTACATGCAAAACACTCACAATCTTTTCAGACTGCCCAGAAAGGTACATGTACAAAAGTCTGCAAGAATATACAGGCAATATGAACTGATGATAATATCCCTGACATCTCAAAGTATTGCATGGTTCCAAAGACAAGGTACAGCAATAACTGAAATGGTCCAGCTCTGACAAAACCTTAAAGCATTCCTGCTCATATGTACATTGGGCTACACAATAAACTGTCAAGCTGTCCTTTATTTATCACAATAACATAACATGAATTTTCTACATTGTACAAATGAAGTAACTGTTGTCCTAATACTATTTCAGAAGTTGTGGATCAGCAACAATATATAGAGGACAGATATGAAATAAATACATGCAAGTGACCTCTAACCAACACAACATTGTACTGTCAGATCCAGTTAATTCCCGGTATGTAAGATGTCAGAAAATAAATGCGAGGAGGATGCACACTTCCTGCAAACCCCCATTCCTCATCCCATCCTGATCTACCAGAGCATAGGATCCAAGACGTAGCTGATAATCTTGAGTTCACTTCAGACAATACCCACCTTTATAAAGCTGACATCAGCAATGGATTTTCCATCATTGAGAGCAACTGCTTGTCTGGCAAATGAGACACTCTGCAGCCCCAGCTCCAGTATCTCCCTGGCCTGCAACAACTGTCCACGAGCTGTGATGTTGGCTGTTGAGGACAGCATGGATGCCCGACTCAGATACTGCTGACCAGTGAAGTTTGTGTCAGCTGCGGTGCCTAGGTCGGTCAGTGTTGTCTTAGAGTCCTTCAGGCCTGATCGGTGATCTGATAGACATAAACTATATATCAGCCTCAGATGCACCTCATTAGTCACAATATATAGTTGATTTTCCTTCACAGTTTGAAATACGAAAAACATCAACTAGTTTTTGGAACCATAAATATAAATATATACGTATCTTATAATCATATCAATATAGATTGATCCTTTATAAATTAGTTATTGTTATGCCCATACAAAGAGAACTGTTGAAGAAAGTATGTTTGCTTTGTAAACTAGAGTATACCAATAATGACAAACTATACAGCAGCAAGAGTCTTATATGAGTGCATATTAGAAGTTTTCCGAAGTTCAATAATGACAAATGTATGGATAACAACTTCTTTTATTTTGCAGGTACAACATTTTGCAATAGATGCTTGTACCTTTGACAAGGATGAATAGTCTTAGTGCTACGATCCTTCATGCAAGATGGTACAGATCATTGAAAACATTCAGTTTCCTCAACAAAGTTAAACAGAGCTTGAAGCTTATAAATGCCCTTGCACAAAATCACATTTCAGACAAATTATGCAGACTGCATCATGTGAAAATGTGAAAGAGAACCAAAACTCTAAGAAAGGTCAACATAACACAACCAACACCAAGTTTCCAGATTGCCATTTTATTATGAGCATAAAAGTTGAAATTATATGTCAAATATAACAAGTAGCAATTATATCTAATCTGCAACAATGAAAGATACAATATCTATATTGTTGCCTTGCACAAGGCATTCAAATGTTCATCCCTTTGTGCTTATGCTTTCTAGGAAAATTCTAAATCATATGTTGGATTATTGAATCAAGTCTCTGCAACGGACAAGCAAACTTGTTGACAACATGTAAATCGTAATGTTATTCATGTTACTTTCAGTAAATTGTGAAATGACAAGGTTTTGATTATTTAGACTCCTTGATTTTTCAGAATGTTTGATGCTTTCATTTTTGTTACAGTTTGCAGTTACAGAAAAAATAATAATACAAATTAATTGGAACCGGTCAAATAAATATTGGTGTCATCTTGAGATGACAATGTGTTTTTGATGACAACACACAAATGCACAGAATGGAAGACAAGCACAACAGTATATTAGACAAATCTAAAAAAAATGTGTTTGGTCCATTTGACACATCTCCTGAACAAGATGTACATCAGGGTCAGGTCAGAGACAGTGACATGGGCCCAGGTAGTGAATGTTGACCTGTCCTGCTCCTCCAAGATGTACATCAGGGTCAGGTCAGAGTCAGTGACATGGGTCCAGGTAGTGAATGTTGACCTGTCCCAGTCCTCCAAGATGTACATCAGGGTCAGGTCAGAGTCAGTGACATGGGTCCAGGTAGTGAATGTTGACCTGTCCCAGTCCTCCAAGATGTACATCAGGGTCAGGTCAGAGACAGTGACATGGGTCCAGGTAGTGAATGTTGACCTGTCCCAGTCCTCCAAGATGTACATCAGGGTCAGGTCAGAGACAGTGACATGGGTCCAGGTAGTGAATGTTGACCTGTCCTGCTCCTCCAAGATGTACATCATGGTCAGGTCAGAGACAGTGACATGGGCCCAGGTAGTGGATGTTGACCTGTCCTGCTCCTCCAAGATGTACATCAGGGTCAGGTCAGAGACAGTGACATGGGTCCAGGTAGTGTCTGATGACCTGTCCCAGTCCTCCAAGATGTACATCAGGGTCAGGTCAGGTCAGTGACATGGGTCCAGGTAGTGAATGATGACCTGTCCCAGTCCTCCAAGATGTACATCAGGGTCAGGTGACAGTGACATGGGTCCAGGTAGTGAATGTTGACCTGTCCCAGTCCTCCAAGATGTACATCAGGGTCAGGTCAGAGACAGTGACATGGGTCCAGGTAGTGAATGTTGACCTGTCCCAGTCCTCCAAGATGTACATCAGGGTCAGGTCAGAGACAGTGACATGGGTCCAGGTAGTGAATGTTGACCTGTCCTGCTCCTCCAAGATGTACACATCAGGGTCAGGTCAGAGACAGTGACATGGGTCCAGGTAGTGAATGCTGACCTGTCCCAGTCCTCCAAGATGTACATCAGGGGGTCAGGTCAGAGTCAGTGACATGGGTCCAGGTCCAGGTAGTGACTGATGACCTGTCCCAGTCCTCCAAGATGTACATCAGGGTCAGGTCAGAGACAGTGACATGGGTCCAGGTAGTGAATGTTGACCTGTCCCAGTCCTCCGAGATGTACATCAGGGTCAGGTCAGAGACAGTGACATGGGTCCAGGTAGTGAATGTTGACCTGTCCCAGTCCTCCAAGATGTACATCAGGGTCAGGTCAGAGTCAGTGACATGGGTCCAGGTAGTGAATGTTGACCTGTCCCAGTCCTCCAAGATGTACATCATGGTCAGGTCAGAGACAGTGACATGGGCCCAGGTAGTGACTGTTGACCTGTCCTGCTCCTCCAAGATGTACATCAGGGTCAGGTCAGAGACAGTGACATGGGTCCAGGTAGTGTCTGATGACCTGTCCCAGTCCTCCAAGATGTACATCAGGGTCAGGTCAGAGACAGTGACATGGGTCCAGGTAGTGAATGATGACCTGTCCCAGTCCTCCGAGATGTACATCAGGGTCAGGTCAGAGACAGTGACATGGGTCCAGGTAGTGAATGTTGACCTGTCCCAGTCCTCCAAGATGTACATCAGGGTCAGGTCAGAGTCAGTGACATGGGTCAAGGTAGTGACTGATGACCTGTCCCAGTCCTCCAAGATGTACAGCAGGGTCAGGTCAGAGACAGTGACATGGGTCCAGGTAGTGTCTGATGACCTGTCCCAGTCCTCCAAGATGTACATCAGGGTCAGGTCAGAGACAGTGACATGGGTCCAGGTAGTGAATGATGACCTGTCCCAGTCCTCCGAGATGTACATCAGGGTCAGGTCAGAGACAGTGACATGGGTCCAGGTAGTGAATGTTGACCTGTCCCAGTCCTCCAAGATGTACATCAGGGTCAGGTCAGAGTCAGTGACATGGGTCAAGGTAGTGACTGATGACCTGTCCCAGTCCTCCAAGATGTACAGCAGGGTCAGGTCAGAGACAGTGACATGGGTCCAGGTAGTGACTGTTGACCTGTCCTGCTCCTCCAAGATGTACATCAGCGTCAGGTCAGAGACAGTGACATGGGTCCAGGTAGTGACTGTTGACCTGTCCCAGTCCTCCAAGATGTACATCAGGGTCAGGTCAGAGACAGTGACATGGGTCAAGGTAGTGACTGATGACCTGTCCCAGTCCTCCAAGATGTACAGCAGGGTCAGGTCAGAGACAGTGACATGGGTCCAGGTAGTGACTGATGACCGGTTCCAAGATGTATAACTGAGGAAGACATTATTGGGTGGGTATGTAAGGCGCACTAAATAACTCAGATATGAGACCCTGTCTGAGACAAATTCTGTTTTACCTTGGTACATTTGTGAAACCCATCAATTTAAAGTGTTAGCATGCAGTTAGTTCCACACAACACAGTTAGTTGATCCAACAAGTAGCTCACACAAGTTAATAATTAGAGAACATCACAGCAATACACAAACATGGGTTTAGTATGTGAAACACAACATAGAAGCCCCATCTCTTGGCTGTGTACTGTTTACAGACGGGAAGTGGGAAGTGGACTAAATGTCCCTGAAAAAACATGCAATGCCATTTTGTTTGAGAGATGTTGCAATGAAGATTATTGATTGACCAGTTTCTCATGCCCCTCCCCTGATGGTCATTCAATCCTTGTATCTTATCACCATTCTATTATGATAAATACCCTGGACATATTCCACACTACAACTCTGTTTAGATAATCACCAGCTCTATCTCTCTATCATTGATGTACCAGATATAGTACTTTCTCTCATTAGAATGACTCTTCTGATCTACATTCAAAATCATTACCTCATATGAACACTCAAGAATCACAAGTATGTTATAATTACATCAGAGATGGAAAAGAAGATTTACTGGGTACAAGACAGGGAAGTAAATACTTGTGCTACAATAAGTTCCAGCTGTAAGTGTTGAGTAGAATAATGTTGCTATAGACGATTGTTTCCCTAACAAAAATTAATGTGGTAAATGTGCCCATATATGGGTATATATTGAATTCGATAAGAAATGCAAATATTACAAATGTTTGAAATTACACGAACAAAAAAGACATAAATCAAGGCCAAATTGTGTCTATTCAGTTCTCGGAATGTCATTCTCGTCAGTTGTTTCTCCTGATACCAAAGTGGTTGCTAATGGAGACCATACTCGATACTGAAATGTCATTTCCAATGTCTCAAAAGTGATGATACAAAATCTAACGACTCCTTATTGACATCATAAAAAAACACATCTGGTTATGCAGGGCTCGTTTTTGTGCTTTGTTACTTGCACTGGTGCAACCCAATATTACAAAGTGCAACCTAGTTATTAGTCTTACTTGCACCAGGTGCAAGTCAAGTTTCGAGAAATAAATCAACAATAAATCTAACATTATAAGCATAAATACAGTCAGCTCATATTTCTTCTAAACTTTGAATAGCAACGGCACCAAAACATTGCTATTTATAGACACCTCTTGGCTATGACAGCTCCAGTAAACTGGAACCAGCTGTGTCTCTGTGTTGCTATGGTTTCATGGGTACAACATCACAGAAATATGTTTATGTGCACCGAAACCTCTGACGTTTTAACACACTACGTTGCAACTGGAATTTGGTTGGTGCTACTAGGTTTTTATCTTAGGTTGCGCCTGGTGCAAGTCGGTTAACATCTCTTAAATCGAGCCCTGTTATGAATAAGGATCATTTGTGTGTTCATTGTAGGGATCAAGCTGTTTTTTGGGCATGTTTTCATAGCATAAATCAATCTCTCTATATTCACCACAGTATAACAGTTTTACGTGATTAATGCTTCTTTTGGAACTGAGTATATTTTCCAAATTGGTATACATCATTATTGAATGGAGACATGATATGAACAAGAGTCTGATCTATTTCTTAAACCTCAATATGGATCAGGGTTGAGCACAGTCAGATCTCTTTCTTATCAGTACATCACACCTTCTGTTTATGACTTTATGGATTCTGACAGGGATGAAATGAACTGGTTAGTTCAGGAAGCAGCAATCAAACAAGTAAACTTCAAGCTCAGTGAGCTAACATCCCCCATCCTCGAGTCAACGCCTTCACACACATAAAGCCGCTGCATCACGTTGTTTACTAAAGATAAGGTATCTTTGAACCATTGTGCTACACTGTATATCTGTGATAACAGATACAATCTGCTGATCACATATGTGCAATTCAGTTTTACAATTTTACATTTTCTTTACTTTAAAGTTTGAAGCAAAATACAATACTGATGGTAAAGCCAGGGAAATGTTTTCCTGTGTTTGGTGGTCATGCTTTCATTAAATTTGCAAAAAATGAAAAAAAGAGAGCAAAATAAGGTGTTTGATGTAAGCTGGTTCAAGGTCAAGTCATTTTATTGTGTTTTGTTTCCAAATTTAACTTGTGCCATGATGCTAATAAACCAACACTCTTAACGTAACACATAGGGTTCTTCTGTTTTGATAATTGGCTTCGTGTGTATAATTAATCTGAATTCAATCCTACCATATCTCTTCTTGTCTCTATTGTCTATGAAAGCCAAAACATTGATCAGCCATGGCAACTGTAATACTCAACATGACTGAGACAGAGTGAGATGGATGTTTCAAGCAATATTAGTCACGAATAAGAAAACCTCAACAATTGTAAACCTGTTTTAGATGATGTGTGTGTTGAGGGTTGACAGCGGATGTTGAGGGAATTAGCCCCGTAGTGAACATAAGCAGTCTCCTACACATACCCCGCGGAGTGATGGGACTGGTTTCAGCCAAGGCCTCAGTGCCTTGTGTTGTTCCTCGTTCATTTCGACTATACCTTTGTGGGCGTCCTTTGACAGAACAGGCAAAAGGTTTCAAAAAAGTTGCCTTTCATTAAAATTTAATTGAGCCTGAAATATGTCTATTTTTGTGAAACAGAATCTGTGAAAACAACATGCATTTTTTTTCTGAGGATGATGTCATCTTGAATGTTTTGTGTTGCACAAGGATTACACATATTATTGGCAAACATACATTGAGTGTTAAATACACAACTCCAACACAGTTTAAACACATAATGCTACATGTGACACTGACAAAGGTTTGAATACATAGGTGTGCCATGATTATACATGCAAATACAACTCCACACACTCAGGCGACATCAAGCAACCAGTCATTATGGAAGGTTTCTTTTATATTTTCATCATAATGTTTTTGCAAACACTCTTAAGAAGCAGGGCCTAAATTTTCTAAATGTTCATAGTCCTAAGAATTCCTATCTTTGATCACATCCAATGTGTTACATACAGGCTTAAGAAGTTCGTAGGGCTACGAATATTTCGAAAATCTAGGCCCTGATGAACACTGAATTTGACAAGAAAATTAAATCTGAACAGAATATGAAAATGTATTTCTTTTTCATCCAAAGTGACCAAAATTACCCAGAGTTTGGAAAACACAACATAAAAAACTTGGGATGAAAAATATAATTTCAAAGCCACAAGTGTATATGATTGTATAGTTTGAATCAATACGCCATAATCCTGGCATTGACATACCAGAAATATATGTGTAATACAGGTGTTTTCCCATGAAGAGACTTACCCTCCGTAGCCTCCAAATGGGCACTGCTCTCATAGACTAGCGCCAGTCTTAGCACCACTTCAGCTGTAAGGGCAGGGTCAACACTACTGATTCCACTCCAGCACAACACTTGGTGGACAGCGTCCAGCAGGAACATCCACTGGAAGAAGAAGACAGTACGATGAAGACTCCATCAGTCAGTCTGTCAGTTCTATGAATAATTACATCACCATCTTAGTTGGGTCATAACTATTTTGCATGCGAAAGATATCAAGGAAGTTTTGTACCATTGGTCTTGATTTGACTACTCAATTGTCTGTCAGTTACTGAGCTGTTAATGTATTCAATCTTAAATTAAACACTTCTCTTGACCCTAAAAGTGTTTGGTCATACCTTATTTGGGTTGTCCATCTTGTGAAGGTACCGTGTATTGTCAACAGAACCAGTCTGAAATTTCTGGAACACTGTTTTGCACTTGTTCCACAGAAACAGCCCAGCATCCACTATCATGTCAATCTCGATGTTCTCTTGCTGGGAAGTAGAGGTGAAACATATACAGACATACATGCATGTTTAGATAATGATGAGCCATTCAACATTTACAAGGCAAACTGGTTAGAGCTTGGTCCACTGCTGTGCAGGATGTGTGTTGTCCAAGTGTAGAAGGTTGTGTAAGCTGTACCATCCAAGCAAACACACAATGACGTCACAATGTTGTAGGAATCTTACATTGTAACATAACTTTCAGTAATGTGACATCATGGATTGTAACTATATACTTGCTTCTTATATATGGTGGTTTGGAGACATTCTGAATCATGAACAGACAAATCAAATTTGAGGTGCTTCACAGAACGATATGTCATGCTATAAGTTTTCCAAGGACATGCAACCCTGCCTAATCAAACTCACGAGCACTGAGGAACTGATTCGATTGATCAATTGCCCTGACAGCGTTTATAAGGAAATAAGCATGAATTTCATGTACATTTCAGTCCTGTCAAGAAGTGATGAGATTTGACAGGCACCTCAATCATTGTAAAAGGTATTGTAGGAATGTTGCAGCATGGTGTCTTGGCAATGATACATCATAACACTCTAGTAACACAAAGAACAGCCCTAATACAGAGGTAACGTCATCTACTCTCCTTGCCATAAGATTGCAACAACACTGTAGAAGATTTTTTTTTTTGTTTGCTGGTAGGAGGTACTCACCAGGAAAGGTCCGCTGACGATGGACAGGAGGACTTCAGCCAGATTAATCAGATCATCCTGGATGCCAAGAGATTTCACTGAAGTGCCTGAGGAGAAATGATCTTCCGTCACAACTCAAGCATGTACTAGACCTTTACCTCAGTTCAATCCCAGTACAGAATGTTGTTGATATGAACATCCCTGTCCAAGGAAAGAGTTTATTCCATTTTGCCAGAGTCATTACATCTTATGTTAAAGCTGTCTAGTGGGCAACTAGAGCTTACACTTGTTGGGGTGTTTTGTTATATTTCATCATTATTTAGACAATGCTTGATGACATAATGTACCATAGCGGGACCTGAAACTAAAACTTAGCACAGGAGGCAATGTCTCAAACACTAGGAAAACTTTTTTTTTCCTATTTGGGCACGTTAACATGTTTAGTCTTACCAGGTACAGTGGATGGTGGAGGGTTGCCTGCCCCCTGATGCTGGCTCTTCCTCTTTCTCCTCCTCTACAACGTTAGCCATCCGCTTGTGGCGTCGGTTGCTGCTGTTGAGTCTCTCCATGGCCTGCAGCAGTTCCAGCGCCTTCTCATCCCACATGTATCTGTCTTCACTCAACACCTACAGAACACGCAGCACTCACAGGTCATGGTCAATATTCATGGCATTCACACTGAAAATGCATTTGTAATGTTATTAATTGTTGTAGAACTATCAAAAATACATAATTCATGAAATCGCTGAAACATCACAGTAAGAATACAAAGTCCCTTTGCCAGGCACCCAACATACATAGAATCTTGTTTCATTGTCTTGAATAATGTTCCTACCTTCAACTGTGTAAGGAGAGGGTCCACTAGCAGGTCAAACGTATCCCAGTGTTCATAGTTGAAGGCCAGTTTGACCAGTTTGATGACAGCACTGATAGGCACTCCATCCTCACCTGTATTTGACAAATATACATTCATGACCTTGTCATTACACTAGGACTGGCTATTGATATAGATTGTAGATACTGAGAATTGTCACATCTAGTATCATTTATAATTCTTCCCAATATTCTTCAGATACATACCCTTTGTGGCCATCTCCATGAGACCCCTGTCAGTGACCACCGAGGCTAGAGGATGACCACCAAGTGAACTCATGGGCTTGGGGCCTGGTGGCTTGTTCCCACCTCCACCTGGGACACAGGACACATGTTTGTTGTAAGTCAACTAATGAGTATTGGTTGTTTATAGCTTCACAGTGTGTGTCACCACACCTCATTATTGATCATATTATCAACCACCGGTTGCCTGTCTAACACTTTATTATTTACATGTTGCTGTGATGGAGCACAAGACAATATTTACTTTCACACTAATCATTGGTTCAGACATTTATTTTGTTGTAACAATACAGAAGGTCTATTATTGTGTGGAGACTGGTTGATGTAACTAACAAAACAACCATGACAATTCTTTGCCATCGGAATACATCACAGGTTCATCAAAACTGTTTATGTTATTGGTAAAATTTAGATTATCATAGGAATGTATATTTACATCTGAAATACACATGAAAAAGCTCAACAGACAGGCAAAAGTCAGTTTACCAACCTGCCAGGATTTCCTGTGCTGCCATGAAGAGTTCACAGAAGACATCTAGGATCTCTGGCTCATTGTCTGGAGCTGGTGGGGAGGTGAGCAGGATACGTCGATTTGTGTCCTGGAGACTCTCCAGAACAGCCAGGATTTGGGCAGCACTCCCTTCAAACATGTCAGCCAACATCTTCTCACTTGGGGTGCGAGGCCATGGAAGCTGCATAAACAGCAAATGTGTCAAACCTAAATGTTCCTTGATGAGCATCATGAAGCAGCAATCAAACACTGGAATACTGGAATAACTTCACACATTAGACACTGGATGGAAACAACTTGTGAATAGTTTCTTACATTGAGAACATCCTTGAGGTTTGCCCGTGTTTTGGGCCGCAACAATCCCTTTGGCTTCCTCCTGGTCTCCATGACAGATCTCTTGTACACCATCACAGCCATCTACAACATGAAATACTGCCTGCTGAATGTGTTCATAATAAACAGGGATAAAACTCCAAATGTATTGTTCCTCTTGTGAAGGTTACAAAAACTACATATCATAACTAGTTGTAACAACAAAGAGTTTTCTCATTCACAGATGGCCCAACTTTTTATTGAATTATTTTATCAGTAACAAAAATATCTTGTTAATGAGAATTTTGGTTGGCTGGGTGGGCATAAACCATGTGAAATAGGATAAGTCTGTAACATATCAAACCCCCAAAGTTGACTTCCATGAAGGCTGAAAGTGTGCACTTGCTGCGTGAGGCAATGGTAGATGCTAACGTTTGCATTTCATGAGGGATGAAAGTAACCAGTGGTGGTTAGACTCCATAAGCATCACAACACATCCAAAATGGACGTTTCCTTCTGGATATCTGTGTCTTGAAAGCTGTTGACCATGAGGCAAACAGTCTCTTTAATTACTCCACCAATACTTAGCAGCTTGGAGGTAGAGCTTCAATGTCCTGGGCCCACTTGCACAGAACGATCTTAGCGCTACAATTATTGTAAATCCTTAAGATCGTGATCTAAGGCTTCGGCTACAACCGCCATCCACTTGCACAAAGCAATTGTAGGCTAAGATCATTGTAAGTTACAATCAAAACTTACAATTGGTCCAGACCAATTGTAAGGATCTACGATCATTGTAGTCTGTGACAAAATGGCGTTCAAGTTAGTGTCTATTACACACAAATAATCAGCTTTACGTTTGGAGATTGCTTTTATATTGCATAAAACTGTATGGTTCGCCTTGACACTTCAACAACACGGAGAATGCACAACCGATTTAACGTTGGTTACATTGTTATTTGCTGTAGTGAACCACAAAACTATCGAGTCAATATCACAAAGTACTATTCCCACCCAATTCAATGTTGTAATAAGTGTGAAACATCATACCTTTTTTGATATTCAAGGAAAGGATAATAGCAAATGGTGTCTGCGTGCGATTAGCAATAGCCGTGACTTTTTCAAAAACTCAAGGGCAGCATTTTTACGCAAGATGGGAGTAGTTTCCCTTGGCATATTATGTCGTTGCCTTAGGCCTGCCGTGCCCAATGTATTTGATGTTGTGACATCGCTGTGCTCCATATATATATTTTTTTTCGGTCACATTCGTGTCATGGACTTTGTCTTAGTTTATCATTAAAATAATCTACAATTAGATAAAGTGTCCAAACAAGTTTCTTTCTCATTCTTAAATCTAAAATTGAGTCGGGTGAGAGACGAGGGTTTTTAATCTATGTATTTTAAATATAATACAAGCATTCATCAGACAGGGAAATACACTTGCTGAGGCAATTTGTGTAAAAAGGAATTTCACAATAAGAAAAAACAATTATCAACGAAATAGGGTTAAATAATTAACATACTGTGAATAGGCAGTCTAAGTAAACTATGCTCAGTATTATTCGTTACACTGCTATACTGAGTCTAACAAAACCTTGTGGAAGGTCGCGTCAGGTATCCTTTGAGCAACCTCTGACCATCCAATTTACCGTGAGACGGCCAAATGGATTTAACCAATCAGACAACGGCTACTACTTAGGGTTTGGCGGGACTTACAAAATGGATTTTCTCTTCCCCGGTTGCCAACACTGATCTCATAACAAATGAAAGTCCGTATAGAACACAGATATATGACCTGCTGAATACACGCTTTGGGTTTCTGTTGGCATGGCTATCATTAGCTAATATTTCCACAAGCTGACATCCTTGAGTACTGACAAAAGGCTACTTTCAGCGACTGTTTACTCACTCTTGTGGCGTTCTCCATGTGGATCACTCGGAAGCGATCGTACGAAAAATAGCATTCGGAATCGTTCGGGTACAAAACTTTTTCGAGGTAAAAGTTCAAAAGGTATGTGCGAATGTCAACTTTCGCGATTTGGTAAGCTGTGTTCTGATTGGTCCATTGAAAAGGTCAGCTGACGCGACCTTCCACAAGGTTTTGTTAGACTCAGTATAGCAGTGTAACGAATAATACTGAGCCTAAGTTTACTTAGACTGTGTGAATAGCTATTTAACAACACATACTACAAAACATCCTCATCAGCAGATTTCAAGCTTTTGATTGCACCTTCAGGGTAGTATTCCTGTGACAACCAATGAAGGCGCCAGTTCTGCCAGAAGAGAAGACACCATTGGTAAGTCATTCTCCCAGAACATTAGCTTTGCTTCCAACTGTAGTAGATCTGCTTGCTGAACAACCACACATGGCAGAAGACCAAACAGTTCAATTCCAGGACGGTTCTCTGGACTGAACCTTGTGCTCATCTCTTCTTGCAGGTGGTCAAGGAAAGGGAATGATCAAATTGAGCTTGAAGTGTTCTTCGGGAGATTGGGATGGTGCATTCACTTTCTGTGTCATCCTCTTCACAATTCAAGGAAGATGTATTTCAGCATCAACCTGTTCTGCAATAGCACAAGCTTCCACATACCAATCATGACACCTTTGATCCACATCAGCCCTCATGGTTTTGATCATTGATACCCTTTCGTCAATAAGTTTGTAAGCCATGTAGATGTCATTGTCCCTTTTTTGAAGTTTGACTGCCAGTGGTTTAACAACTTCAAGTGCATTATGGGCCACCACAAACGCCATGATGTGTTGCGAATCTCTCAGAATGGTCAAAAGCCCTTGTGCTTTTATGGTTGTCTCTTTGTCCCATGCCCAGTTCTCATCACGATAAATATCTGCATGGTTTCGAGGATATAGGATGGCCTCAAAACATGTGCAAATGTGGCTATACAATGTTTGAAAGAAGTCAAAGCACACATGCCTCTCAACCCATCTAGTCTTGCAAAATCCTAAAAGACGAGTTCTTGTCGTATCAGTGCAAAATGCTTTCAGAACTCTCTCTAAAAACCTCTGGCGTTTTGGTGAATTGTCAAAGAAAAAAAAACTTGGTTGATGTTGTCCATCATGTTTCTGATTTGAGGGATATTGCATGAAGCGACAGAACATGGCTGTTGCAATGCGTGTACAAAGCCGTAGGTGCCAATGTTTTGACATGAGCCTGAACGCCAACGCGAGTTGAAGACATGCAGGATGCACCATCATAGCTTTGTCCTCGACACTTGGTGATATCAATGCCTTGGTATTTCAGTGACTTTGAGATAGCTTCTGCAATATGCTGACCTGTTGTTCTTTCTAAATGTACATAATCAAAGAATGTCTCTTTGATAGTCATTGTATTTTGATCAACATATCTCAGGCAAAGACCAAGAACCTCAACATTGGAAAACGTATCTGTGACTTCACCTGCAATCTGTGCCCCCTCAGAGACAAACCTTGTTTGCCACATAGTATCACTGTGTCAACTATTTGTTTCAGAATGTGGCAGTTCAAGTCGTACATCTCCTTATTCTGTTGAGATATCTGATAAGGTAACAACTTTTCAGGTTCTTTGTACATGCATAGGAAGTCCAACGCCGCAAAAATGGTTTGTTTGTGAAAAAAAAGGTATTCTGGTGAGTCTCAAATGCACCATGTTCCCAGTTGCTTTAGACAAATTTGTGAAAGGATACTTTACTAAAGACCCTGCGCACTTTCGCTCATCGCCCAGGTTCGGAAACAGAACACACATTTTACATAAGCCTCCACCTGCTGCTGGACTGTACACTAGCCAACTGTACTTATTCAACCAGCTGTGCTGGAATACAAGACGTGTTACTCGTTTCTGTTGTGGTCGAGCTCTTGTTTGCGAAACAAACCCATCATATTCTGAAGTGGGATGAAAGTAATGTTTCAGGTATTTGTACTTTTCATCTTTACTCAAAGTACTGAGCTTAAGTTTCCCTGAAACAATATCCCCAACGTCAACGCAGTCATACCTTACAGATGTGCTCTTCGTCTCAACTGGATCAATGCCAGGCACAGACATTTTCGGCTTCTTGTTAGCTGGTTCACTGCTTCTGTCCTTCATATCCCTGGTATCAGATTGTGAGAAACCAGACACTGTGAAGCCTTTTTCGGGTGCTTTTTTTCATACACTATCAGCTGAGTATGTGCTACCCAGATTCTCACTTTTCACTTCGGAAAACTCTGTATCTGGCAAAGCACACTTCCTTTCCATCTCTCTCTAGTTTCAATACAGGCCATAAAATGGTTAGGTTTCCATCCCGCTGTGTCTGTGCTGGTCATGTGGGTCCACATGATACAGATAGGTGGGGTCTTTATTTCCCCAACGAGTGGTGTGATGGTTTGGTGCATGACCTGTCGATCAATTGCTACACTCCGATATGACCTTGCGCTGAAAAGCATTGCTTTCCGCGTATATGTGTATGAGAGAGGTATACCGTCCATTGTTTACAGTGTTAAGTACCTCTTTCCGAAATGTTTGTTGCATAGATGAAGTCACAAGTGATTCATCAGCTGCTGAGGTAACAACGACATACTGTAACAAGTTCTGCTTTTCCTTGGCTTTCCCACCTGACATAGAAGCAAGTGATGACTGGTTGATGTATAGCTTCTCGTTCACGACAAGCTAATTTATGATACGCACCCGGCATTCCAGATGGTGAGTTTCATCACCCAAAAGTTGTTGGGATATGGCTTGAAGGAGACAATTTCCATCACTAATGCATGCAACTGGATGTCGAGATGTCGGAGCATCAGCTGGATAAAGACCGACAGCCACGGAATCGCGAGGAAACTTTACACACTTTGGCACTTGGTCAGGTAAGTTGAACTGTTTGATACTCTGCGACCTCAGAGAAAACTGAAACTTCAAACATTCCCAGCCTTGTTTGGCTGCACTAACTAATGCTGAATGCAGCCGCTGGTAATGTACCACGTGCTTCTGGTCGTCCATAATAAAATGATTTCGACATGTAACAATCTTTCATAGTCAACAAGATAAATTTAAAACCAACAGGTACACAAATATTATTGCAAATCGGAAAAAAACTATGGACTGAACACAATAGCACATTGACCATCTGTAAGCTGA